TAAACAACGAATGTCACAACATTAGTACCAAATATAAGACATGATATAGGAATTTCCAGATCTGCTTAAAGAGAACCCCATTAGATTTATATGGGTGAGCACTTAGGAACATTCAAAGACCGTGTAATGGAAAGAGAGCGATGAAAATCCTTCTGCAGCTTCTTTGTTGAACAGTATTGTCATTTATTTGTTCCTTCTCCTTGTTGTGTATTTTAACCTTTGTTCCGATCTCGTTTAACCATATTTTTTGTTCTTCATTCTTCCTCGTTCGAGCCTTTATTATGTCATTTTGATTACAGACTTGTCTTTTGTTCCCTAAGTTATCATTGCATGTTGCCGGACCACTGACAGTAAAGTCGTGTTTGACTAAGCTCATGGTCACGGCGTGGTTCGGTGTGTGACTGTTAACCTTCTGACTGTCTGTTTGGGAGGGTTGCTGGGATCCCTGAAGATAGATGTTTGATCCCATCTTGTTGGGAATATTTTTATAGATTTTCAGGTATCAAACACCTTAGTATTAACTGTTTCTTTCATTGTTTAGCGCGCTACTTTGCCTTAGAGAAACTTCTGACTGTATAGCATAGGCTGTACCGCTTGATGTATTTTGTATTTTTGATGTAATTTGTTCTGTTTTCGAAATTAGAAACGTTTATGTTGAGCACAGAGTGTGTTTTGATATAATATAATAAGAGTATCTCAAAAACGCGTTGTGAGATATACAGAGGAACGTGGTCTGGTTTAATCGAATAAATTTTGGGTTCGTCAGTTCATTGTTCCAACCGAATATTGGTTGTTCGGTCGCTACAAACCGTGAACACATCTAAAGGTAGACACAGTAGAAAAGACAATCACTTTCGAGGCTCTCCGCATCTTCTTCCTCATGAGTGTCACGGGTGTAGTATCAAGAATAATTTCAGTGTAATTGTTCTCGACAGCCAAACCAGAACTAGTGGACGGAAAACGATACTTTAATCTGCTTAGTCACTAATTACAGAAAGTTCATTCACTGGCATAAGAAATACTGTCAACAAAGTTACTTACAGCTGTTTCATCAGAAGTACTTCCGCTAAATATTCTCGTCAACACTGAGCTCCAGTCACGATCTTTAGTTCTAGATACAAAAATAAACATGATCAAAGCCACGATATGGAGATGCTGGCACAAAAATGGAGTGCTAACACGACCAACAAGACCAATAGTATTCGCATCTCAACTGTCTTGATAACGATCTTGAAATGCATGAGATAAGGCGTGCCTTCTGAATCTGAAGTGTTTTAGGTTATCTGAATACAGGTAGGCCAGCATGGTTTCCAAGCACTCGGATATTAAGACAGCCTGCTGATGTTGGAAAACCATAAAGTTCTCTTCTAACGACGTACATTCTGTTCTTCTTTCTTTAGCTTTTTCGGTGTATATGTCAGCTTGTTTTCTGCTCTGTACCATTTTATGAAAACCGTAGATCGACTGGTTTTGTTGAAAAGTTTGTATCCGCACATGATTTTAGAGATTGATAATCCGTCTAAATCACCGTAATATCGAAGGCTGAAGAGGAAAAGCCTGATAGCTTCTTATTGTTGCGATATCTTCCTTCCGAAACACTAATTCCCAAGAAGCAAAGAAGAGCTTGTGTAACAAAGAACTCTCACGAAAAAATTAAGCACAACGAAGACTACAGTAACATTTCTTACCAGAAACAGGGACTTCTGTGTTATTTCATGTAACATATCATATACGATAAAACTATGTACTTTCGCTGCAATTAAAAGTGTTCAGGCAAATTCGCACCGAGACATGCGCACTTGAGTAGAGACTATAGATCATCAACACAGACGATCTATGTCTAATGATCGGAGGCCTACTCGAGTTAGACGGGAATGGTGTGACAAACCAGCTAACGTCGAAGTCATACCTCGTGGCCATCACCCATTGACTTATCAAGGTACCATAGATACTTTGAGGGCTGTACAACACAGAGGACGTTATTACAGAAATATATTGGTTAAAGTAGATACAAGCGGAAGTAAGACCACTGCCGCATGGGCCAGTCCATGGCGTATGATGAACTGATACGCGTTGGTTGTCCTTGAACTTGACGAGGGCCGATGATTTGTTCAATATCGAATGACCCAACTGCAGGATGATTTGGCTAGGGCTCAGTGAAATTTCACTGGCCCTACAAAACCAAACGTCATTTGCGTTTCATCGTACGAAGCACCAACTCTTAACCAGTTTTACATTCCCTGTGAAAGTTATTTCGCTTTTACGAATTACATACACTATAACGCCTAACATTGTGAGGTGTTGGCAACTGGTGAATACTGAAATTGATGCAGATATAAGTTGTATCAACCTCAAAAGCCCCAATGATTACTCTTTTAAATGTGTGATTATGAATCCCATTTTATGGGACAAACATACTCTATATGATCCCAGTGATTGCTAGTTAAATTAATTACCATGAGTTTGTAGGATGGCGTCGAATTGAGATTAACTATGAACACCGCTACCAAGAAACACGAGCTAAGTAAATCAGAAGGCGAAGGTTGAACGTAACCAAATAAATCCATAAAATCCCCGAGGAGCCAAATATCAGAAAGCAGTTAATGGACCAAGTCGAGATATATTTGCTGGCGATCTCGTGGTATCGAAAGGATGCCGAGATCGTGCCAGGGTACAAGCTTGGTTACAGAACGTAACCGAATTCGCGGGAAGTCACAATCAAAGTGTAAGAATAATGGATGTTTTTAGCACAGTTAAACAGTCACTGGTACAATTGGTTATAATAATAATTGTTTTCAATAAACCAATCGTGTTCTCGTGATAAATGTGAGTCACTACAAATTTATTAGTGTCCTGATTTGGTCACTCTCAACAAATGGGATATCTACAATCTAAAATAACACCAGACTTCGTATTGATTCTACTGTTCCACACATTTGATCCCCTTTACCATGTCTTATTATCATGTTATGTAATGCATAGCCAATGAACATGAATTTCGTGTATGTTTTTTTATTATGCATCCGGACAACACATGAACAACTCAGCCATTGCTTTGTGACATGACGAGTGCAAATCATTGTTAAGTAGACACGGAACATTGATAACAGCAAAAAACCAATTAAGGTCTAAAAGTGTAGCTGATTTGTTAAATTACATTACACCGTATGCATAAGTATAGTTTGATTATAAAGTATACGATGGCTTAATAATGGAAATTTTAGCTGTCGATAGGATGAAAGAGGCTCCTCAAAAAAATGTTATGGCTTCCAAGTAGGCAGTAGTACTCTTCCTAATATCTTTCTTCGTTATTATTGAAATTTCAAAATCACCCATGTGTTTTTAAAACCACAAAGGGTTATTTAACTATTCAACCACAATTGCCAGGTCCCACTGATGGAAAACTTCCATTAATATTAATTGCAAAAAACATAATCTCAGTCCATGGTTTAACTGATAGTGGCGTCAAGAACATGTGAATTAACTGGAGCTTGAATGTATTATATCCTAGTGAAGATTAAATTACAGGTAACTTCCGAGGACTATTCATGGACTAATATTCTATAAATATTCTTATTGTACAATTATTCAATAATTATATTATGTATATTTATATTTCTCTTATTATAAGCTTCATTTTGACCTATAATCTGTTATTATAAGATTTAATTTCCCTGAATTATGCTCAGTTTACTAACTACTGCCTTCCACGTTCACAGCCACTTTTTGGCTTTATTGTGTACACATGTTATTTTCTATTTTATGGTACGTTGTGGTCTGTTTGTTTGATATATAAACACAGTATGTTTGAAATATATGATTCGCATATTGGAAACTGGTATTTGGTGTTCTGGACTCAAGTGGACGGGCTAGGAGGACATAGGACCAACAAGGACGCTAGACTGCCCATACCGGTCGAACGTCATTGGTTTGGCATAGTGCGAATATTGTATAAGTCGTATTTTGATTGTTGGATAAATCACGTGATAAAAGCTGGACATAAAGTCATAACAGATGGTTTCAAACTTCATTAGGCCAAATTAGGGGATTGTTTGTTCCCTGGTATCTGCGTCCAGGTAATTGAAGGGCATCTTTGATTAAAGAAAGGTATGATTGTGTGTGCATTGTTTACCCTGCTCAATACATATCTGTAGTTGATTTTTGTCTGACTATAAATATTGAGTCTCGCTTCATCAAAATGAGTTGGCTCACTCGCCTTCTCAGCTCCGCATTCTCGCTTCTTATTCTGAATATCTGTCTGGATAAACGAGTGCTTGAAATAAATCCATTCAATGCAACCAGTATTTGGTTTCATATTACCGCCGTCACACAAACGGCGTTAGCCTAGGTAACATACAGAGTTAAATGAAAGATTTATGTTCATGAGATATTCACTCGTTCTTTTAAGTTCAAGTAATATCAGGGGGCTACGAACGACAAACACATTAAAGTGTACCAAACAATGATTGCTTTCGATACTAGATATTCATTAACTCAATGTAATAATTGGTTTGTATACTTCCGATGAATAACTCGTTCCATTCGAGATATATTCATAAAATACAAAAATCAAAATACATTAGATTCTTGACTTTTATAGCTCTAATAGTTTATTTTCTTTCAAGTTTGATCCCACCAGTCCTATATGATAATTAGAAGTATTGGAATTGATTTGCTGACTAATAATTTCCGAAATAATGCAACTTTAGGCAGGTAGATGAACACAACTGAACGTATTTTAATTGTAATTCATAATCAGCACCCAATCAAGCGCAAAGGAATCATCACTTAGCACAGATATCAAATCGTATTACTATCAAAGTATAACAACATTATTCAAATGATATTTATTTCGATTGTTCATTGTTGTTAGTAATAAGGTTAAATAAAAATAAGACAAAATGAAAAATATCTGATAATTTATTGTAAAGACAACATTGTTTAGTGAATATTCCAGCGTATATTTTTCTGAATGTTCGAAACGACTGACGGTAAACGATTTAACTTCCTAGTAATAAAGTTTTCATGTTCTTTAAATTCAAGAATGATGATCTGAAAAGGTACCTAAATTGATTAAATAAATGAAAGATCTCGGAAGTTAATCTTCTTTTGTTGCTGTATATTTTTAATACCTTTATTTATAGTCCATCGTTTATAAAATGCTTGAGAATATGTTTATGATGATGTATATATTGTTTTCACAGGCAAATGGAAATTTAGTCATTTGAATACTGATAAAGTTGTCTGTGTTGTTTATATAAGACAATGAATACTTTGAACATTCTTGCTGGCTAGCTTTATATATCAGAAAACCTATTCATTTGTGCTCATGTTCTTCTTAGTTCTGTAGGGTTAATAGAATATGATTAGCACACTCAAGGAAATAAATATTTCATTAATTCCAAACAATAATAATAATTATTTTGTATGAAATCAACGGATTTAGTGCCTTTGACCTTAACAGAAGTTGACAAAATTCAATTCTGAAGTAACGTATCCTCATTACATACAACAGATCATGACTAAGGCATGAAAGAACAATCCACTACTTTCATATGCCTCTAAAAAATTTTATATGACAGGCAAAAAGGTTCACAAAATAAACTGTAAGTAGATCATGGCTGGTTGAACTCACCAGAAATTGAACAAATAACTCCTTCAATCAAATGAATGACATTTTAGTAACGGTATAATTAATTCCTGAAAAGTAATGACTACATTTCCCTACTCTGATGACTATTCATGTGATTTAGTATTGTTTTAAAATCTTTGCTTCAAAATAGTAAATAATGTGTCTTTGGATCCTATTAAGATGAAGTTGTTCAGACAACTATTATGACATACTTCTCACTTTATAAAAATTCTGAAGTTCCATTTGTTCCATATAACTTTCGGTTAGGCTGATAACAATTAAACTAATCACTCAACATATTATTAACATACTATATATAGACGATATCACATATGTAGTGATCGTAGCTAAAATTAATTTACAAGTCACCTATAGAATTACGTTTTTACCATCTTTTAGAAATGGTATAAAAGTTTTTTTATTAAATAAACTTTTGGAAATTGTAAAAGTACCTCTTCATCCGTACAATGATAAATATTTGACTGTAGACACTTCAGTAATCAAGTATGAATAAATTGGTAAATCTTACTTTTGATTTATTGGATGAAACTCTAACATGATAAGATAGAATATATGATATATATATAAAGTTTACAATATATGTTTATGGATATTTTGGCGAAAAAAGCTATTCATATTGTTCAGAAATGATAATATCTGATCATCGAGCTCTACCAGGATTTCGATTCAAAATTATCTACAAAGTCAGATAAATTAGTTTTAAACGAAACTGGATCATAAATTTGTGAATGGTTGAGGCTATGGTAATTCATCATTTCGAACATGATCTTTTTTGTACAGTAGCGATATATCCAATCACTTATTATTACCGTGATCCTAATCCCCCATCCCACCGTCATTTTTTTGTTTTTAACAGGTATTTGTAGGGATTTTCGAACGTTTTGCGACTACAAACTAGCTTAAGTTAGAAAACCATGGGAAACACAGAAGCACTACACATCTGTTTCATTCTGGTATAGGACTTCTCAGAAAATTTCATCTTCTGTGTGAGGCAGGTACCCACCGAAGATAATAGAAAATGGTTGCTCAATGTTGCAAATCGCTTTAAGTTAGACCGGTAAACTACTGGGTGTCGAATTAGTAGCCTAAAAGTTAAGCTCCAACCAGACGACCTGAGATCCTTGGGTTCGATTTCTGGGATGTTCGTTGATGCGCAACCCTAAGGAGTCAAGTACTAGAATGAAATAGCTGTCTTGTGCTTCCACATTCTCAATGGTTTTCTACTTCAGGTTAGTTTGTGATTAAAGCGAGGCAGTTAGTTAAATTAGTTGAATTTAAACTATGAAAATGTAAAAGGAAAGAACATGTATACATGCTTATCAGACCATTTTATAATCAAAATGAGTTATTTAATGGGTTATTAAGTTGAATCTTTTCTGACCATAAAGATCAGATTTTTAATTCATGTTCCTATCGCTTTTTCAATCTAAAGGAGTCGAAGGAGTCACAACTTCAATACACTTGAAATGGGAATTAGTTACAATACTGCGTATTTTATTCTAAGAATTACTTATTATGACATTAAAACAATGTATTTTTAATATGTAATGAGTGAAAAATTGAATTTCTAACATTTCGTAACTCATTGTAAGTCACTTCCTCAGACAAAATGATAAAGTTGTCTGGATTGAATTAAATATTTTGATTTGTCTCCCTGTACTACTTAAACTTGTGTTCATTTAGTCTGATTACTTATTCATTCTCCAGAGTAATGACTTGGAGAATCGGAGTATTACAAATATATTACTTTATAGTCGTGATACAATCCAATTGATAGGCAATTTAATCGGAATTACCAAGTATAACCTTGGTGAAGATGATACCAACTAACCTTGTTCACTGAACAAATCAAAAACTTAGAAAATAAAGAACAAAAGTGCAATTTACAAATTAGAATGAATGAAATGGATCAAAATTAAAAAAAGAAAATTTTCAATGTTTTACATTTTTGAGCATTTTACCATCAAATACTCACAACTGACTACATATTGATAGACGAAGCATACACCGGTTGCTAACGTCGAATTGATGCCAACTTTAGTTTACTAGTCATTTTCCTGTGAACTTATATCTTTGATTATTGAGAGAAAAATAACATTTATTGCCACTATTTTTAATAGTTATCAATCTGAAATCAGTTTAAATATTTTACGTTTGTTCAAACGCCTAATTGATATAGTATAAACATGCCAAGAGTGAAACAGTTATCATCAGTGATATCCAATGATCTTCGTACTGTATCATGAAGTTATAAAGGTCGAAAACGTGTACCATTTGGGAATAATCCATTGTTCTAATGATAAAACGTTCACCAAAATACTCGAAGCTGCTAGGTTTGCAACTTTATATGGTTGTGGATGTTCTCTAATGAATAGGTCCTCACTAAGAAAAAAGTATATCTACTATCGCACGGTTCTCAATAATACCAAAGGCGTAGTCAATTCTTGACGACTTCCATCTGCAGATATTATGTGTATGTGTTTGTTTAATGAACAGATAATAACAATTTACATTATCAGTTTATTATTTAACAAATTAAGAATGCGTAGTAAAGCATATTTGGCGGGTAAAAAGTAAAAAGCCTATGTACGTATATCAAGTTCATATGAGATAAAACGTGATCATAGAAATTGTTACATCTTGCAAAACACCGAAACAAACTTACTTACGCCTGTTAACCGCTGTGGAGGAGCATAGGCCGTCCACCAGCACTCTCCATCCAACTCTGTCCTGGGCAATCCTTTCTAGTTGCTATTCATCCTTATCATGTATGCTTCCAATTCCCGACTCAGTGTATTCATTGATCTTCCTCCTTCCGTTCACCTTCATGATTCCAGGTAAGCACTTGCCACGTGGTGCAGTTTGGTGGTTTCCGCAATGTATATTCTATTCACCTCCAGAGTCTTTTCCTAATTTTCTCTTCAGCTGGAAACTGGTTTGTTCTCTCATACGGTATGCTGTCGCTGATGGTATTCAGACAATGGATATTGAGTGCCTTGCCTAAACAACTGTTTATAAATACTTGTACCTTTTTGATGATGGTTATAGTAGTTCTCCACGCTTCAGCTCCGTACAGTAGGACTGTCTTGATGTTCATATTGAAGATTCTCACTATGATATTAGTGTGTGAAACACTGAAACTACTACACATGTAGTTTAATGTCTTACAATGAATATATGTAATTTACTCCAGTATATGTTTACAGTTTATTTCAATTCATACCATGCCACCAAGCTTTTTATTCATTGCTTTTGTTTCGGTTGGTTTTTTTTGTGTTGCTAAGAAAAACAACTCCGACCGAAACGAAAGCAATTTGTAGTAGTTTCAGTGTTTCACACAATATTTTAAACTGTGTTTATTCAATGAAAGAAGAAAAAATACACTTCATACTCACATCCATCACCAACTTCTGTTTTATTGTATAAGAAATAAAAGAGAGAGAGAGAATATGGTCAAAATAGTAACTTTATATCATTAAAAGTTATGCAACTAGTATTATATTTAGAAACAAACAGTATATACTGGAACAGGATGTCACTTATTGAATTAAGATTTAATTGTTAGTTAGCTAGTATATCCTTTACACTAGTCTCAGAACAAAACTAACCAGTTGTTTACTATTTCATAATTTCTAATGGGTCACTTATTATTAAGTAGAAATGTTTACAATTTGATCTAATCATAATTTATGTAATGACATTGTTCTTGTACATATAAAATGCAACATTCAATTGAATAGTAGGTTCCATTAATTATATTCATAACTCTTAGTAATTTGAAACAATAGATATTAATAATTCACTTGGTATTATTTGACTTGTATCTTCCCATAGATAAAAATAGCTTTATTGACTTTTGACAATTTCCTTGGTATCCAACCTAAGTGAAAAACTTATTTGTATCAAAGGATAAGTTTATTATACGATAGTTTACTTAGTATTCTCATTTATAGCTGTTAAATATAGTTTTATATTATACTTGAATAAATGTATCTTCAGATAATTAGTTATTTATGTTGACAAAATTGAGGTTAGCAATATTTAGGTTAGATATGAGATCCTAGATAGAAATAGAGATGCATAACATAGATATTAACCGCTATTTAATTGATATAACATGCTAATAAGCATAGTACGAGGTTATAAGTGAATATCAATCCTTGGAGCTATTCATCATTAATCTAAAATTTAAAAAGGTATAAACAGAAAATCTTTCAGCAGTCTTAATTAGATTCACTATAGACGATTAGCACTTTTATATTAAACTGAAGGTCATCAACGTTTTAATGCAATAAATATTCGCTTACTTTTTAGGAATGACTCTTTAAAACAATCATATTTGAAAAAAAACAGAACAATATATATTCCATATAAAAGAGATATCATTATATTAGAGTGAAGTATCCTGATATTGATCGATTATATGTGTTGTTCCAATTTACAATGTTAAGTTTTGTTTAATAATATTTAGTGGCCCTGAATCTGATTCCAATTGGATCGTATGAATGTTATTGAAATACATATGTCGGTTATCTTTGTATGTAATATTCAACTTGATTCGCGTTAGGGAATAACGGGATTAAATAAATCAAATACGAAAATGGAGCTTCGAATACATACATATTATTTACTCTCATTGATCTGAACAGGCAATCAAAGAGACGAAGCGAAGGAAGCAAAGAGAAGAGAGTGAAGCGAAACGACGAGCAGTGGAGTAGGCGTGTGAGCCAACTCCATTTAATCAAGCTTTATTTATAGCCAGATAAAAATAAGCTATAGATATGTGATGAATAGGATAAAAAGTGTATACACATACGCTCATATAAAACAGTCAGGGTTGATAAGTGAATAATTAACAAGGTCAAAACGTGACTCAAGAAGGATGGATAAATTGACCTGTCAAGTAGCTAGAATACGTTATATGGGCTTAACATAGTAACCAACACTACGATATCCAAACTAACTTCATCGAATAAATACATAAATAAGAAATATTTCTGTTCAGTTTTACAGTGTACTTCAACTCTGTTTAAAAAAAGATATTTGTCAATGTGTTTCTTTTTTTGTGGGGGGGGGGGTAGTTGTTTATCTGAATATTTGACTGATCATGAAACCTGATGATACGTTCTTATAGTTCGATTTTCCAATAATGGACACTCAAAAATTCTGATTTATATATTCAATAACCTACATACTGTTACTTATTTCATTTTTGAAATCATTCTCTACAATTTCATGATGACTATGAACCAGGCAAAATTAGTTGCCTCTCCAGTTGGGCTAATAAGTTAAAATGTTTATTCATTTGGTCAGAGGAAATATCTTTTCATTGGTTTTTACCAACTTTGAACTTACAAATAAAAACGCAAACAAGTAAATCAGTTCAATATTAATGAACTGAATACTGTCTGTGATATGTCATTTAAAAGTAGTCGCCAAATCAATAGATCTCAATAAGGAGGCAGAACTATGAGGCAATCGATATTTAAATAACATTTGATTTGCGTTCAAACATCCACTTGTAAAATATTCCAGAAAGAAATGAATTGACTACCAATATCATCTGTAGTAAGTCCAGACACACAACTCTGAGTATGGCACTTTATTCGTGAACTTACGTGATGTAACTATTCAATAATTAGGTTATGTATATTTATATTCCCCTTATTATAAGCTTCATTTTGACCTATAATTTATTATTGTACGATTTACGGTCCTTAAGCTATGTTCAGTTTATTAACTGCTGCCTCTCACGTTCACAGCCACTTTTTGGCTTTATTGTGTACACATGTTATTTTCTATTTTATGGTACGTTGTGGTCCGTCTGGTTGATATATAAACACAGTATGTTTGAAATAAATGATTTGATTCATATTGCAGAATCTGGTATTGAATTCCGGACTCAAGCGAACGGGCTAGGCAGACATAGGACCAATAAGGACGCTAGACTGCTCATACCGGTTGAACGTCATTGGTTTGGCATAGTGCGAATATTGTATAAGTCGTATTTTGATTGGTGGATAAATCACGTGATTAAAGCCGGACATAAAATCATAACAGTACATTAGTGAATTATCTCTAGGAGGGTCCATTAGGTCTGATACAAACCAGAGCAGTTGCTATAAACTGTTCTGTAACTAGTACATAGGGGCTGACACTAAAATTGTTTGTGGTATAGACGACCCATAACCCTAATGGTATAAAGGTAAGTAATGTATTCATTTACTACTACTGTTGGAGTCAACCAAACCATCTTTACCTATGTGTATACTATGAAGTGTAAAGCCTCGGTCTATGCATTCTATGTATGCATGTAACGTATAATTGCTAGCGGAATCATCTATATCTATTTGTTTACTTTAGAGCGCATAGGTGTCTGAGGTGTACATTCTCTGTATACATGTAACGCATACTTGCAATGTTTTCCACGTTCTGTACAGGTGTATTCACTTTAGCTTGTAGGGACCTACTTTTATGAAGAGAACGCGATTGGCATAATGGAAACAATTATAACCAATTGTACCAGTGATTGTTTTACTGTACCTGTTTGTTCAACTGTATTAAAACCTTACCTTCTTCCGTTAACTGTGACTTTGCACGCATTCGTGTACGCTACGTAGTCCCGCTCGTACTCTTTGGTACGATCTCGGTACTCTTTCGACACCACGAGATTGTCAACAAATATATTCTATTACGACCGTCAATTGCCTTTTGGTTTTTTGGTCTATGAAGAGATCAAACCTAATATCTGATAAGTAATCTTCCTGTAGTGGTGATCATAGTCGATCGCGACTCGACGCCTATTACAAGCTCTAAAAGCCTTTGATTTGTTACAAAGTTTTAGAATGAAATAGGAAGATGAAACTGTATGGAAGTAAACTGATAAGGTGTCCGTCTGCTGCACACAAAGTATAGCTGAATTGAATTGCCTACTTGCACAAAAATTATATCAAAGTAAACTGCTAAAATATCGGTTCGTTTTAGCATTTTCCTGTGCTCCAGTCTCTCACTTATTTACTAAAGATCTTTTATTTTCTTTCCTGATAACCCAATTGGCCTTCATACTTAGTTGGGTCAAGTTAAACAAACCAATATCGTATGAATTTTATTAAATTCGTTCAGAAAGATTCGATTCGGTCTGGTCATCTAAAAAATGTGTTTTTTAAGACAGGCCTGTGTGAAGGATGAGGTTTACGCATGGGATCAGCATCCCTATCCCGTAGAAAACAATATTGCTGAAAAACGCTTACCAGAACAAACAAATTAAACCAATTTAAACTCTGTCCTCCTAGAAGAAATATGACGCTTCATGATAGAAGCCGAAATTCTTCGAAAATCACGAGGCCAATAACTCCTTTAACAACCTGAGCAATAATTAATGTAGGGACATGGAATGTCAGGACAATGTGAGAGACCGGGAAACCGGTAAAATAGATACGGAAATAAGGATATACAACCTGGCAGTGCAATGAATAAGTGAAGTCCATTGGAATCAAGCTGTAGAGAAAAGATTAGATTCGGGAGAGATGCTATTGTACTTTTTTATGAACAAGAAAATGTTTTGCACACACAAGGAGTTGCACAGATACTGTTAGAAGAAGCACAAAAAACTCTTACAGAATGAGGATCTCATGAATCCGGGATCATCGAAGTGTCCTTCAAAGCTGCCATGACGGGCCGTGTCCGAAATCTGATACCGATACACGACATGCTGCGCGCTAACTTCACAACTGTCTACTTGAGCGAAAACACAATGGTGAAAGAGAAAGCATATTAGGCTACCAAATGAAATGCACAAATACTCATTTTTATATGAACAACTCTGCCTTTTAGGAAATGAACCCACCTCTTAACCAATGAAATGCACCAGTCCTTCAAATCACTCCCGAATGCCATCGATTGATCTTCTCATTAGGCTGATTCTGATTAGCTTATCACATCAAAAAAGAAGGGGAGGATCATAATGAATGTTTTCCAGTGCTATGCACCCACCAATGATGGCAACGACTACGATAACGACCAGTCTTATGAAGGGCCACAGTTGATCGTACACGAATAACCATGAAAGAACCTGACCATCCTGATGACAGACAAACGTCAAAGTCGAAATGGATAACACCGGGTATGAAGATATCATAAGACGACATAAACTGGGAGAAAGAAACGAAAATGGTAACAGATTCGCAAATTTAATCGCATTCAACAAAATATTTATAGGCGGCACTATATTCCGTAACAAACGCGTACACACAGCTTGATGGATTTCACCACATCACAAAACACAGAACTACATCAATCATATGTACATCAAAAACATCAGAATATCCATGGCGGGCGTCAGAACAAAGATATGAGCTAACATAGCTTCAAATTACCACCTAGTTTTGAACAAAATAAAATCGGCGCTAAGGAAGCACTCAACAACTAGAGAAACAGAATTACAAAGCTTCAATGCAAACTTCCTTCGACATACTGACGGACTCAAACAATTCAAGATGGATCTCAACAACAGGTTTTAAGCCTTGCAAGATCTACTCAAAAAAGAAGAAACTACGACTGAGGACAACAGCAAAGGGATCAACGAAGCACTAAATTCAATGTGTCAGGAGGTGCCGGGCAGCGAGAATTATCATCATAAGAAATGCGTCTCCATGGAAACCCTGAACATTACTCAAGAAAGGAAGAACAAGAGAGTAATGGGGGACGTTGGAGGCGACAAGCAGGATTACGCGGAAGATCCAGCAACGAAAGCAGAAGTAGCTAAAAAAAAAGAGGAAGTATCAGAAAACTATATGATATAACGAAGAAACTAGCAGGAAAATAGACTAAAACAGAGAGACTAGTCAAGGAAAAGAAGACGAGACAATCACTGAGATTCATCAAGACGGGAACAAAGGGGTAGAACAAATTGAGGAACTCCTGAAACGATCATCCTAAATGAAAATCCCATACATCGTAGCAATACACACAGACGGTTCTATACATCACACTCCACAAAAGATCGAAGGTATCAGGATTACTCACACCGAAATAAAGAGTGAGAAAGCATCATTACATGACTTACTAGGTGCAGCAGTAGTTGCTGTTGTTCCATGAGCAACTAAGAAACAAGAAACATAATAAAACGTATTAGTAAAATGACAGAAGTAAAGCAATACGGCAACACTATTTCACAAGTTAATTATGATTATAAAGTATTTATGACTGTTACATCTGGGTCAATTCCATTTGGCAATACCTTATCTTCAACACAAACCACAAAACAGTTCTGCTTTATGGAGATGAGGCTTGTAGAACAACTACAAGCATCATCAAAAAATTACAAGTATTTATAAAGAATTTTCTACTCAAGGTACTCAATATCCGTTGACTAGATTCCACCAGCAATAGCCTACTGTGAGAGAGAACAAACCAGCTTCCATCTGAAGAGGAAATTAGGAAAAGTCGTTGGAAGTGGATAGAACATACATTACGGAAATCACCAAACTGCACAACGAGGCAAGCACTAATTTGGAATACTGAGGGGAAACGGAAAATAGGTAGGCCATAGAACACACTGCACCGAGAATTGGAAGCAGGCATGAAAAAGTATGTATAGCAACTGGAAAGGATTGTCCAGGACAGAGTTAGATGGAGAATGTTGGTGGGCGGCCTATGCTCCTCCACAAGGGGTAATAGGCGTAGGTAAGTAGGTAAAGTATCTTCAACTACTCACATTTTGTAATCAAAGTGTAGAATATGAGGTGAAGATGCAAATTGGGAACGTCAAATTGGTTATTACATTGAGATATAAGTACCCTACATTCGTTGGGGGGAGGATAATGTTGGTGTATTTATGGTTTAAATTCTAGATACCATCGATTTCACTACACAACCAACATGTTGAACATATACAATTCCATGATCCAGGTGAGTCTTTTCCAATTTCAGTTGTTAATCCTAATACTAATGAGCATATTCTAGATCATACAGTGTCTGTATCCAATACACAGTCTGACAGACATACAATGAACCTACAAAGAAGACGTTCAATCGATTGCAGAAACTTAGGTTCTAATTTAAGCTGTGGCGGTTGTGGTGTTAGTGTAAACTAATGATTCTCTTGTATTTGAGTGACTGCCTGATTTTGAATGCCAAATACAATACGTCCATTTCTGTTCATCTCGTTCTATTTGCTGTACATTGCACGATTTTGGGAAGTCCTAGTTATTACAATAATTCAAATACTTCTAATCATCACAAGAAACTAATCCATTTGTTCTATAGCACAGAAGAAGATTGTCAAGATTTAACAAAACTTATGGAAGTTCATAAAACTCTAGTTCCATAAACTCATGACACAAATAAAATAAAACTGCAAAACATTCCCACGATTAATTTTTAAATAAGATAGGAATCGACTTACTATGTGCAGTAGTAGTTGCTTTTGTTCCATGAGCAACTAAGAAACAAGAAACATAATAAAACGTATTAGTAAAATGACAGAAGTAAAGCAATACGGCAACACTATTTCACAAGTTAATTATGATTATAAAATACTTATGGTAGTCACATCTGGGTCAACCGACCGCCACAGAATTGGTGATCTTAACATGCGTACACGAAACGATTTTCGACGACATAATATGACTTCGAATTTCCAACGCGCTCCGTTTCAATTCGGGTTATCATCTGGATTATGATCATAATTTTGGATTTCTTATATCACTATTTTAATTACACGCATATTATCTCACAAGCATTATTGAACGTAACTATATATATATATATATTGGTGCAATTTAGTAAGTTTGTTCTATGTTTTAAATCGTTTCATTGGTTAGCATCACTATTTTTATCGGTCTGTCTTTGTGTCAGTTTGTGATGATTTCTTTTTGTGACATTTACATTTTATTCGCGTACTATTTAATTTTTATTAATGTCTTCAAATAACGACACAATAGACCTTCCTTAAGCACCGTCCATGAGGTTCACTAACCTTACTATTCCTCCTTCTAAGGTCACTGACCCTCATCTTTGGTTCATTAGACTTTAAAGTTACTTTGTAGCTAATCGTTTTCACTTACAGCAAGATAAATTCGGTTATTGATGCCCACTACTTCCGGATGAACTAGCAGACAATTTTCGAGAGGTCTTAGCTAAGCCGGACGCAGGGAAACCATTCGACGTACCAACGCAGGCAGTAATAAAAGCCGTTTCGTCTTACCGACCGGCAGCAGCTGCCCAGTCAGGTACAAATAAGAGATAGGACTCCGTCGCAGTTAAAAAATTATATGAGCAACACGATCGGGGACAGAAACGTAGAGAAAAGCATATTTTATCACTTGTGAATACGACGACTCCCACTGCGTGCAGCAGATCCTTGCAGTTGGGGACTGCAATGTCGACATAGACAACATCACCAAAATATCCGATAGGATTTTTGAGAGAATGGGACACACGAGTCCACATAGGCATATCTCCACAGAAGATGAAAGAATCGATGCGTTACAAGAAAAGATTGATGTTTTATGCCACAAAGTGACGAACCTAAGTCAGGACGACGGACAAAGAAGATGGTCGCGAAGTAGATCAAGAGATAGAAGCCGATCATGCTGTAGGAGACGCTCAGCTCCTACAACACGCTGGTACCATCAGAAGTTCGGCCACAGAGCTAGATAATGTAGATCACCATGTAAATTTAAACGATCCCACAGGTTGTCCGTAACGGCTGCGACAACTAACACAGCTCTTAGAAACAGTCATTTATTTTATGTCCAGGATAGAGTAATATGCACTCAATTGTTAGTAGACACGAGAACAGAAATAAGCGTCGTAAAACGAAAGACGAAATATTAATACAGCACTAACCCTTAAAGCAGCAAACAAATCCGACATAAAAACATATGGGAAGCAAAAATTGAACTTGAATTTCGGTCTTAGCACTTTATTTTGCTGGGAATCCCTTATCGTAGACGTATCCGTACCTATAATTGGTATTGACTTATTCAAGAATTTCGAATTACTAGTGGATTCCCAACGAAACCAGCTTGTGAACGGAGACCATTCAGTAGTGATAAAAGGAGTGACAACCGATCACGTATCAATGAATTTAGTGGTGTCAAAAGACAAAAGCGGGTCATATAGGTTGCTTCTAAATGAGTACGCTGATTTGACGAAAGTGTCATACAATAACAGAGATCTTAAACATACTGCACAGCACCACATTGTAACGAAAGGTCCACCGACTAACGCAAAACCACGAAGGCTAGGCCCAAAAGGTTGAATATTGCGAAACGAGAATTCGAAAAATTGATGAAACTTGGTATCGTAAGGCCATCGAATAGTCCCTGGGCATCCTCGTTGCATATGGTTATCAAAGGGAATGGAGAAATCAGATCATGTTGAGATTATAGAGCTCTTAACAAACAAACTAATGTCGGATAGATATCCGGTACTGCACATCCACGACATCTCTACCTATATAGGTGCCACGGTCTTTTCAAAAATTGATCTTGTTCGGGCTTATTACCACATACACGTGGCACCAGAAGGTATACCCAAAATTGCTGTAATCACTCCATTTATCTTATTTAGGATTTTGCGAATGCCCATCGGGTTAACTAATGCAGCTCAAACCTTCCAGCAATTCATTGATCAGGTATTTATAGGTTTGACAGGAGTATACGCATATATCAATGATATACTAGTAGCTAGCACTACCATGAAAGAACATCTACAACATCTATGACAGTTGTTTACGAAACTTCAGGAACATAGCGTCACTAATAAAGTAGAGAAGTGTCAATTCGGAAAGGAATCATTGCAATTCCTGGGTCATATGACAAATTCTCAAGGTACCATGCCAGCTCCAACAAAAGTTGCTGCTATTCGTGATTATCCGTTGCCCGAATCACAAGGTAAATTATGACTATTCTTGGGACTAATAAACTATTATAGACGATTAATTCCAAACTGCTCAACAATATTACAACCATTGATGGACGCTTTGCGAAGACATACCCAAACATTTCGTCTATCAACAGAGGCTATACAGGCGTTTGAGAACGCTAAGCGAGCGCTAGATCAGAAGACGATATTTGTACGACGAAAGAGCGAAGCACCACTAGTCGTCATGACGGACGCATCGAACATAGCAGTGGGAGCAGTACTGCAGCAGTTAGTAAACAGTACATGGGAACCACTTGCATTTTTCTCGAAGAGATTAAATCCTACTCAGACGAGGTATAGTACGTTTAGAAGAGAACTGTTAGCGATTTACTTGGTAATAAAGCATTTGTTACATATGATAGAGGGTACCATTTTCACAGTGTAACAGATCGTAAAACAATCATAAACGAAAGCATGAAACGCCAAGCAGGATAACTATTCGCCGAGGGAAATTCGACAATTAGAAATTATTTCCTAATTTCCATCTAGCATACAGCATATTAAAGGCAATAATAACGAAGTGGCAAACGCATTATTCAGAACGATGATAAATGCTCTTATCTAGTCTGAAATCGATTATCACAAATAGGCAGTATTGCAAAGTATAAATGTTGAGCTAAATAGACTAAGGTCTGCTAACACAACCTCTTTGGTACCCAAAGAAAATCAATTCGAAAAAGAAAGCACCACGTGTAGTATCTCCACGGGCCGACCACGACCAGTTATTCCGAAGCCACTAAAACGAAAAGTTTGCGAAGCTATGCATAATATATAGCATCCTAGAATAAGGGCCACAATCAAACTAACCATCGAGCGTTTTGTATGGCCAAGTATGAACAGGGATATTCTCAACTGGACGCAAGCTTGTATAAAATGTCAGGAAATTGAGATACATAGTTGCACCAGTTCCACCGTATGTCTTTTTCGTCACCACGATAGCGGGTTTGAGCATATACATATCGATATTGTGAGACCGCTGCAGATTTCAAATGGTTCAAGTTATATTTTCACATGCATTGATGAATTAATGTGATCGCCTGTAGCAGTGACCATAGAAGGAATTTCAGCCAAACTATAGCCAAAACCCTAGTGGAGCATTGGATTTCTTAGTATGGAGTGCCTGCTAATATCACAAGTGATAGAGGAGTTCATTTTGAGAGTCACCTCTTCCAACAACTCGCAAAGCTCTTCGGAATCAAACGTATTCAAACAACATTCTGCCATCCAATGGCGAGTGGTATGGTAGAGAGATTACATTAGCAAATTAAAGCCTCTCCTACAGCTCTTATTAGCAAAAACGATTGAGCCAGCAAGCCCCTATTATTCATGTTGAGTTTAAGATCAGCAATTAGACAGGATATATGATGTTGCCCAGCAGAGTTGGTTTATGTGACTATTTACGTCTACCAGAAGAGTTTTTCACCTCAGGTAAAAGTGCTCCAACTGATATAGTCAACTATGTACAGCATCTAAGGCAGCATATGAGTTATCTAAGAGTAACGTTCCTGAGGCTACGTCAAATCGAGTGTACATACCAAAACAACTGATCGACAGTACCCATGTGTTTATCAGAAAGGATAATGTGCGGCCCCTCTTACAGCCGGCCTACGATGGTCCATTTAAAGTGATTAGAGGAATTGATAAAATTATTACGGTAGATAAAGCTGGAAAAACGGATGTAATTAGCATCGAACGAGTCAAACCAGCTCCCATCGACGCTAACGATCAGCCAGTACATACAGATCCTTCGAAAACCGTTGAATCGCTAAAACGTGAGTTCCAATCATCAACGACACCGACGAAGAACAACGAAGAGGATCAGGCAATAACGAGATAGATCGTAGAGTGGATTGGCCGCAACGATACATAGCTACGCTTTTGAATTAATAATTTCTTTCACCTCTTCAGATGTGAATTTTGTTTGTCAATCTTTGTTTTGTATGTGCACATAGGAACTTTTAACTTATTTATTATTATATTCGATATATTTTGTATATTCTGATATCAACGTTTATAAACTTCTAGAAGCATCACTGTATTATTTTGATCCCCTATTATCATCTTATCTAACCTCATGGACGTGTACGAACTCAAGCTTACAAGTATTTGTAATAACTTCCACGATAGTTCCATCATACATCTTAATTTCGTAAATTTCGATATCTACTGCCCTGTTTAATTTAACAATTTTTTCACAAACACAGACACTGTTTTGTATCTTTTTTTGCTGGAGGGAGCTGTTATAGCAGCTCACGTGCAATTGAGTCTGTTCACATTTGATTTGGTTAAGCCCTTTTGCTAACTTAATCAACGGACAGTCATTTGCACAACAACAACTTATCTATACCATTGTACCTTTATTATTGTTGCACTTGTATGATATGTATGCCTGAGCATCGCTTAGTGCCTACGCATAATATCCATTCCGCAGGCCTTACTATTAGTCGCTTAATTGATTCGATGATTCATTCATTTCACTATGCTATATATGTACATTCTAATCCTGTTCACTCACCTACTCGCTTACCCGCTTTGTTTTCTGTACTACCCTTTCATGCTTTCTAAGCGTACCTGTAATTTTGGTGATCTGTGTGTTGCGCAATATTAAAAGTAATTACTACTTAGTATCCACCTTCCCATTATTACACCGTTTAGGCGTTATCTAGTGAAGGTAATCAGAACGAAATGTACACGAAGACTAAGGAATACATACAATAGCAACCAACATAAACTAATATATTTTTGGGTTGGATTGACTGCCTGATTTTGAATGCCAAATACAATACGTCCATTTCTGTTCATCTCGTTCTATTTGCTGTACATTGCACGATTTTGGGAAGTCCTAGTTATTACAATAATTCAAATACTTCTAATCATCACAAGAAACTAATCCATTTGTTCTATAGCACAGAAGAAGATTGTCAAGATTTAACAAAACTTATGGAAGTTCATAAAACTCTAGTTCCATAAACTCATGACACAAATAAAATAAAACTGCAAAACATTCCCACGATTAATTTTTAAATAAGATAGGAATCGACTTACTATGTGCAGTAGTAGTTGCTTTTGTTCCATGAGCAACTAAGAAACAAGAAACATAATAAAACGTATTAGTAAAATGACAGAAGTAAAGCAATACGGCAACACTATTTCACAAGTTAATTATGATTATAAAGTACTTATGACTGTTACATCTGGGTCAAACGTAGACGTCATGATAAAGCTTGGCAGGCTTTGTGATTAATAAGTGAGTTTTCATTGCTAATTCATATTCCACTTAGAATTTCAAGCGGATTTTATTGATCTAAATTGTTGATCAATTAATATTAATTGCGCTATCTAATCCTGTATAAACTATTCAGTGTTATTTTTTAATATACTTATTATCTCTAAAACCTAATGCAACATAAATACTTCTCAGTATAGGGGTTGTGGAGATTAATACGTTTTTGATTGAGATCATCCATAACCCTTATACTGAACATTACCATGTGCTCACTAGTGACTAGCTTCGTGAGAAAATCCTCGGAGTTCCAGTGAGAAGCCATGACCAGTGGAGCTAATCCGTGTCGGGTAGTGACAGGTATCCACCTCAGTACAATGGAAGATGGTCGCGCACTTTCGTGGATTGGTTGATGTTAGACACTAACACCATCGGATGCCGGCTCAGTGGTCCAGTAGGTTAAGCGTTCGCGCGCGAGACTGAAGGCCCTGGGTTCGAATCCCGAAAGCGGGATCGTGGATGCGTACTGCTGAGGAGTCCCACAATAGGGCGAAATGGCCGTTCAGTGCTTCCAGGTTCCCAACGGTGGTCAATCAATCGGTTCGTGATCCCAATCAATAAATACTTCTTTTGTCCTTTTACTTAAATACGAGTTATCTTTTCTTTAATAGTTATTCACAGAACCAAGCAATATAGAACTGATTGTGATTCGAGATCTATATCAGCATTGCTTATATAAGCGATTTTGAACCCAATTCATCAAATTTTCGTAAACATTTCTCTTTAATACCTATTCCATCAATTGTCACATTTTGTAAAAGTTGATCATTTGCAATTCGCATTACTCATTATATGTTCACAGAATACAATACTATATATTATATATTATTTATTCAAGTTTAACTATGTTCATTTCAATCGAAAATTTAATGTTACTGGAACATGTTTCAGTTATGTCAAGCTTTTAACATAAATTTGAAATAAGGTTTTCTGAAGAAACATTGGACAAAAGACTATCCCAATAAAAATTTACGCATTCATTAACAGACCTCAATAATGTGCAAAATCTTATTTAGAATATGAACTTAGAGAAAATCCGGAAGTGTAATAGCATTAGTTACCAATTTTTCAATAATAAATCTTTAATTGTGAAATAATGCACTCACTTGTATGATTTTGTGAGATTTTCTGGTGTGTTGTTGTTGTTGGAACGTGGGGAGCTGAAAGAAAATATATAAGTTTTGTGTTTAATATATAGAAATTGCATGCTGATTTCGTAAAATTATGTCTTATTTTATAAACAAAGATGGATAGTGGCTAGCAGTAGAATCCAGGACGGGCGTTTCGTCCTATTTCGGAATCGTCACCTGGATGTACCTGCATCTCAGAGTTGATGTTCACTCTATCCATCTTTGCTTATAATGCTTGTGAATTAAGGCAATATCGGGACAATTCACACAGTATGCACATATGCCAATAAGAGACGGATCAGTTGCAGTCCTAAACATCAATGGGAAGATTCGAATAAACAATACCAAGTGAATTTAATGTTTAATTTTGTATGTAATATTTCCTTTGGTTTCATTAATATATAATTGTAGGAAAATTATATTTGGATTATGTTAATCAATGAAAATAAGTAATTCACTGTAACGTTACTTGGAATAATTTTACTAGCATTGGTATATAATTTCCCTCCATAGCATATGAAGAAGTAATGTAAATATTTAAACCAATATGCACTCACCTACTGTAGAGTTGTGAACTTGTGTCTGAGGTAAATCTAGGGACGTATACAAAGCGTTAATAAGTAAGCTAAGATTCTTGTATGAAAAACGATTGGTTAAGGTTTGTGAAAATAGTCTGAAAAAGGTTGTTCATTTGTATAAAGAGATGAACTCAGAGAAGTGATGGGATCCCGGCACTTTTGGTAAAAAAAAGCTTTCTTGATGTTGATAAGAAATGATGCTGCAAAGGCTGAAGTTTTATTGGGATAGTTTGGTAAAGTGGCTTCTACCAACGATGAAGAAAGACCAACCGTTAATTATAATAATGATGACTTGTCGATGGATCATCTGATTAATAAGAAAGGAGTTGTTTTAGGACTAATTCAACACTCCAGACGAGATAAGTCTAATGGTCTCGAAGGTATTCATCCCAAGATTATGACAACCCTGAGTGATGTCATTACCAAACCTCTGACAAAACTGTCTGATATGTCTCTTTTGCAGTCTAAATTATCAAGAATAAAGACCTAGTTAGCAACAGTCAGCCCGTTAGTTCAACCGTTGTAGTCGCCAATCTAAGGAACAATATTATTCAGGAGGATTATCTAAACCATGTGAAATGGAATAATCTTTTAGTTAGGAGATAACATGGTTTTAAGAAAGGCTTTTCATGCTCGACATATCTTTTCATTGCAAGCTTATATTGAACTGCAGAGAAAGATAGTAATACTCTGTGAGAAGCAATTTTCATAGGTAACGTTAATTGTTGTTTTCATCAACTGCAGACCACAGCCACTAAATTATATAGAGACTTAGATAGGGTAAACCAACTTATTGAAATGATTCAAACACTGCATGATAAATTGAGTGCTCCATTTGCACATATTTCTTGATTTGTCTTGTTCTTCTATTCCTGTTCCTACTCCTACTGTTTTTTTCTTTATTTCTCTTCTCCTCATATTCTTCTTTTATCAGTAAGAAGCCTACTCCCAATTCCTGATACATACTACTTATATTTGTTCTTATAAGTAGCATACATTACACTACCACTATGGTGTAGTGATTAAGCTCGTCTCATAAAGTGAACGCCGTAGACATAGACTACCTGTTCAGTTCTCTGTTTCTAAAAATCTTTGTGTCTTGAACCCTGATTAAGAAACCGAATGTGAGGAGTGTAAATGGGGGTATACTTTTAGGGTTTGTTCATATAAAAAAGAAGTTTTGTTTATGAGATTTAGGGTAGGTCTTAGGTGTTAGGAGTCTCTTAAAATGACTTAAAAACTGGCCTATTGAGTGGCCTAGTGAGCTCCGTAAACTCTTCCAATCAAAACTAGTGCCAATAAATTGAAGATAAAACAGCACATCCTTTGTTTCATTGAAATGTACCCTTAACCACATACCACGGCTATTAATATTCGAACCCTGTATCAAATCAAGTAATGAGCTTCTATTGAAAAACTTCTATTTCTGAAATTGACATATATTCTCAATATTATAATACTTTACATCAATCTACACTTACTCGTAGTGGTGATAGAAACATTTTTGCTTGATTTTTGAAGTTCACATTTATCTAAAGAATTAAGAAATGTGTGCTACGTTTAATACATGAACAAGGTAGCGCAATAACATCAAATAATGTTTAACTTGGATCTCAATAGAAACATCACTTTCAAAATAATAGTTTTTTGAAAGATTGTATTAAAACTCTACTAATTAGCTACAGAATGTTGTGCAAATAAATGAAATATTTTAGACAACTTCACAACTATGTTATTCTGACATACACACAAAAAAATATTATGCGTAATTACACACTCACCTGTACCATTGCATGAAGTTCGATTATTTGATTTCTGTGGTATGTGGATATCTAACCGAAAAAAATGCGAATTGTTTACATTGTAGTGACTCACGTTTATCACGAGAACACGACTGGTTTAATAAAAACAATTATTATTATTATAACCAACTGTACCAGTGTTTGTTTTAACGTGCTTTTGTTTGACTGTGCTAATGACAGCTATTTTGTGCTTCCATTCTTATACTTACACTTTTGATTGTAACTTCGCGCGAATTCGGTTACGTTCTGTAACCAAGCTTGTATCCTGGCACGATCTCGGTATCCTTTCGATGCCACGAGATCGCCAGCAAATAAACATCGACTTGGTCCATTAATTGCCTTCTGGTATTCGGCTTCTCGGGGATTTTATGGAGTCATTTGGAACGAGCTTCTTACGCCTTCTGATCTAATTGGCACGTGTTTCTTGGTAGCGGTGTTCACAGTTAATCTCAACTCGACGCCACGCTACAATTGGTAATCCCAATACGAATACAATCGGTGACCCGTATTTTGGAACACGCCTCAACTTCTGATCAAATCTTCCAAAGAAGCCAATTCGGTGAGTCTATGATTTATCTATCCACGTCTGTCGTATATTTTCATATTTTTAATATATAATATACGCGACATGACGGATAACGATAAGAATAGTATTAATATAATAGACTCACACGTATGTGTACCGAATCCTTGTCACTTTTTATTCGCGTGATGATGAATTCCACGCTTTATTCGAGAAATGTTACCCTATTAAAGATTCTCCTCGCTGACCCGGCTGCTTGGTACGGAATGCATACGCATAAGCATATCCGTCTACCACCCAGCACCAAATGGTTAAGTTGAACGGTTTCACTGCCAACTTAAAAGTGTTCTACGAGCACACGAAAACGACAACTGGCACGAAACCTTACCGCTCGTTCTTTTAGGGGTGAGAACGAGTTTAAAGGCAGATATCCAGTGTTCCGCCACTGAACTTGTGTACGGCACGACATTGCGTCTGCCCGGAGAATTCTTCACACCACGGAGCAGACCTAATTTCGGTAAATCAGACTACGTCCATCGACTGTCTGCATTTATGCGAACGCTGTCTCCGGTGTCAACTCGAATACAACATCGACAGGTCGCTCTCCCTCGAGAGTTATCTACCTGTTCACATGTTTTTGTACGAGTAGATTCGGTACGCAAACCTTGGCAACAACCTTACGAAGGCCCTTTTCACGTGATCGCTCGTCACGAAAAGACCTTCAAGGTTGATCGATATGGACGCGTCGAGATCGTCAGCATTGATCGTCTCAAACCAGCACACGTCGATGACAGTGCCCTATCTGACACCCTGAGATTCAATGCTAGACCTATCAAACCTAGCGGGATCCTTAAATCTTCTTCAGGTCCCACGCTAGATGCATCTGAGACCTCATTCTCACGTCCCAGTCAACAGCACGCGTCATCTGCACCGTCTACGGACGAGACGACAGTCTCACGTCCAGATCAGCAGACCACGCCGCCCTTGACTTCGGATGAGATTGCAGGCTCACGCGACGCGAACGAGACTGCCGTCTCACGTTCCGGTCGCCGAGTACGATTACGCGTACGCTTCCGCGAATAGTCGCACAGTCAACAACCGATACGGTGTAGGATTATTCCTAAACTACACGTATGCTACACTCTTCTTTTTTTGATTCTCTTTTTGTTTCCTGAGCCCACGCCTTCGACCATCTCCGTTGGTTCCGTCGACTTCAGTCAACTTTGGCGAAAGCTGAGTTGGCCACCCACGCTCTTGTCAACGTACTCAGTCGATATATTGATTTCGAATGCTTGGCATACGCTTGGTCTCGAACTTGGTCGTTATGGTCGCTTCTGGTCTTTTGGCTCAACGTGGTTTCGTCCTACGTCTGCAGCGTTTCTGGTGCGCACCTCTACGAACGCCCTCTCCAGATTCTGGATACAAACCACTCTCGTGTAGCATGCCAATTCGAGCAATAAATACAACACATCGCTCCTGGTACCGTTCTCCGAAAACGACCTTCGTTGGCAACTCGACGATCAACGATCGCTTTCCTGTTCGCCAATTCTTCCGTCCTACAATCGCTCGTCAGCTGATCAGTCCCACGATTCAAACCGCTATTTGTCGAAAGTGTAAACCCTTTCTAGCGGGGGGCTCCTGTAGTGACTCACGTTTATCACGAGAACACGACTGGTTTAATAAAAACAATTATTATTATAACCAACTGTACCAGTGTTTGTTTTAACGTGCTTTTGTTTGACTGTGCTAATGACAGCTATTTTGTGCTTCCATTCTTATACTTACACTTTTGATTGTAACTTCGCGCGAATTCGGTTACGTTCTGTAACCAAGCTTGTATCCTGGCACGATCTCGGTATCCTTTCGATGCCACGAGATCGCCAGCAAATAAACATCGACTTGGTCCATTAATTGCCTTCTGGTATTCGGCTTCTCGGGGATTTTATGGAGTCATTTGGAACGAGCTTCTTACGCCTTCTGATCTAATTGGCACGTGTTTCTTGGTAGCGGTGTTCACAGTTAATCTCAACTCGACGCCACGCTACAATTGGTAATCCCAATTCGAATACAACATGTTCTGAAGGAAGTGTCATAAAACTAGTAAGATCCAAACAATGTCTTTTCATTACTCTGAGATGTATAGAAAAGTTCGACTTGAAAGTGATGAATATTAACCTAAGCTTACAATAGAGTTAGATCAAGAAAATTAATTGAGAAGTTTGTTACAGAAACATATAAATGGTCTATATCAACTAGTACCTGATAGTTACAATATATGGATCATGGTCCACCCCATAGTGTATTGGTCATTTCAACACAGACTTAGTAGGTATGGTATCTTAAGATTTACACACAGATAAAATAAAGAAGTATAAGTTACGGTAGCGATCCATTAAATTATTGTAATTTCAGAGTAAATACTTAAGACTCAGTAGGTAATAAACTTTTTGGATAACAGTCTAGATTTGAGTTAGAATTTGTGAATTGGTGAGCGAATGTGGCTAACACCAAACAGTTATCCCTAACACCTTCAGAAATTAATCCCAAATAAATTAAATATTTTCAGTGAATAGGTAATAATTTCTTATACAAAGTGACCCCGAATTCCCTGGTACAGCCGAGAGTGGGGAGAGTCAGCTCGCCCTTTCGAAATACTCTCACATGGCCACGTCCATAAACCCACTGCCAGGGAAGTCCTACTCACTGCTCTCTCATGGAGGTGGTGTTGTTCATGAAATTGAGAGGACGAAAAGCGAATGTCCGGCGCTTTAACCGGATTCCAAATCAATGGTGCACATGGGCTCCAGTATCCTGAGGGAACAAATGGCGTATGAACTAATCTTTGGTCACCGGCTACCATGGGATTGTATCTCTTGACGTTGCTCCACTGCCTTGTGGGTCAGACTTTCAGGTCGAAGGCTCTGGGTGTGGTCCCCTAAGAAAACCACCTGCTTGAAATTGGGCACCCAGCCAGTATCTTATCCCTCACACAAATCGAATGATTTATGTGGTGCATATCTATCTGGTGCCTCCATGTACCAATGTTTATGTGTTTAAATAAATAAATAATAAACCTATAAAAATAACGTAATTGTATCTTGATTAACGTTGTTTTAATTGTCATATAGAAAATTTGTGAATTTACAATTTATATAACACACCATTATGGTCAAATATTATATCTCGGAGATTAAATATACTGGTTAATCTCGATAAACCAATTTGTTTCTATTAAGCTTTTAGCACAAATCTGAAGATAAAATCTCTGAGAGAACACTGTACGAAAAGACAATCTCACAGTACATATAAACAAAAGCATCAACAATCCCAAATAAACCGAAAAGAAACCTTAATTAAAATAAAAATTTAGCAATCTCTAGGAAGTATCTCGGAATTGATCATCAATCAATTACGAATTCTTGTCATGTACCCATCCATTTTCAATGATAATCTTGTAAAACGTATTATACTTACTAGGATCTGTCAAAATTTTCAAGGTAAGCATCTTTGAAGCAGATGAATCTGGAAAAAAAACATAAGACTCATGTTATTCTATTTTATAAAACTCAGCATCCAAATATGTTTGGTTTAACACAGTATAGTTTTGATTGTTAAAAGCTATATATTTCTTTGATGATTTTGATTTTCATTATTGATCTGAAGAAGTCCAGACAAGTAAGCTGGGCAAAACGTTGGAATGATTTAACTTTCAATCGCTGAGATTATTTCAAATATAATTTTCACATATAATGACTTCTCTATACTCGGCGCTCAATTACTGTCAAACTATTCGTTCTAATATTGACAAACATTCGTATAAACACAAATCATATGTTGGATACAAGGAAAATGCAGAATGGTTTTTGTTGAATAATGTTTAATTGTGGTTGCAATAGTTGCCTTAACTTCCTCAAAATTCATTACCATTGTAACTTGCAATACTTTCTAATAAAATTATACTGATGAGATTAGTAAAAATAAAATCTATACTATACGTGTCAAACTATTGAACAATTTACCCACCTGATAATTTGTCTGACTTCACGATTCTTGCTGATACATGTTCAACTAACAAAATAATAATTCCATTTGAAAGTCATACAAAAGTATAACAATAAATAAAACTACAATTTGACTATATCTGTTATATCCGGTGAAGATTAAATTACAGGTAACTTCCGAGGACTATTCATGGACTAATATTCTATAAATATTCTTATTGTACAATTATTCAATAATTATATTATGTATATTCATATTTCTCTTATTATAAGCTTTATTTTGACCTATAATCTATTATTGTACGATTTACGGTTCTTAAGTTATGTTCAGTTTATTAACTACTGCCTCCCACATTCACAGCCACTTTTTGGGCTTATTTGTGTACAAATATTATTTCCTATTTTATGGTCGTTGCGGTCTGTCTGATTGATATATAAACCGGGTATGTCTGAAATAAACGATCTGCTCTGATTCGGAAGCTGGTATTGTGTTCTGGACTCAAGTGGAAGGGTTCGGAGGACATAAGACCAATAAGGACGTTAAACTGCCCACACCGGTTGAACGTCATTGGTTGGCCTAGTGTGAAGATTCGTATAAGTCGTATTCGGATTGGTAGATAAATCGTGTGATAGAAAAACCAGACATCCAAGGTCATAACAAGATCATCTTCACTGTTAACATTATAATATTGTGTAATAGACAATATGGTTACTTAAGGGGTTTACTTTGTGAATAAGCATTTGCATTATTTAAAAATGAAGCTTTCAAAAATGAGAATGAAAGATTCGTGTTAAATTAAAATTAAAAAGTTTAGTAAACATTAGGTCATTTTATATCTACTCACACTTAAGCTAAACTTAATTATCCTACCTTTTTTAAATCATTCGACTAGATATCATTAAAATAGTCTAAATTTTGATTTCATCCACAACGTTGTCAATCGTCACTGTGTTTATTATACCTAGCACTTCTGGTCATTTTTCATATCTGTTAAGAGAGTGAACGCTACAGATCAGAATGTAACTTTCACTAAAGATTTCATTTTAAACTCCAATTTTTATTAGGTTTATGTTTTTTTTTATTCAGGATGTTGGATAACAGTATAATGGGTATATCCATAACGGACAGTTAAAAAAGAATTTTAGCCTTAATTTACACAATGAATAAATAGATATTATCTTTGGTTTCATATTTCACTGTTTTCACTTTCTACAATGTTTATGTTGATTAAATTTATGTTGTATTATTGAATTAGACAATTATTTTAGGGATTTCTTTTCAATAGTTGAGATCATGAGTCGATTGAATCTAGATCACCATGGAAAACCTGGAAACACATGAACGACCGTTTCGTCCTATTGTGGGACTCCTCAGCAGTGCGCATCTACAACACCGCCTCGCGGGATTTGAACCCATGATCTATCAGTCTCGCGCACGAGCGCTTAACCACTAGACAAGTGTTAATTAATTTGTACTACTTATCTAGCTATTTACAACTTATTTCTTTTTCTTAAAGATTATTTATAACTGAAAAACCAATGGTTAATAAATGAAGCAAAAATCATACTTTTTAAAAAAATTAAACTATCGAGTGAAATTTTGTAGAAACTTTTGAATATATGTTTTGTTCGTTTTCTTTTTGACATTTGTTTTTACTATCAGAAGGGGTTTTGTGGATACTAAAATAATTTTGATAGTTGAGATTATGAGTTATTTAAAGCTAAAGCACCATGGAAAATCTAGAAGCACTGTTGAGAAGTCCCATAGTCGAACGAAACGGCCGTCCAATGCTTCCGAGTTTTCCATGATGATCTAGCTTCAATTGACTCATGACCTCAACTATTTATTTTTACATTTAAGAAAACTGTAATAAGCACTTAAATCCTTACTCTTTAATAAATGAAAAGAAAAGTAGTAGTAGTAGTAGGAAAATATTTTCCAATAGAAAGTAAACTGAAAAGATAAAGGGATGATAGATGCTTTAAGTACTTTCAGTAAATACTTAAAACTTCCAGTTTCCACGATCAAAATATGAAGAGGCGAAATACATTTGATTGAGCTTTCTTTTTGTTTTAAAGTTAATTCCATAAATGAAATCATCTTCACAAATGGCCAAATGGAATAAACAAGCGATTACTTTATTTATAATAAAAATTAATTGTAACCGTTAAATGTATTTCTTTTCTTTAAAATGTAGGTTGAGACTATAATTTATGGATGACCTTTGAGCGACGCTAAAGTGACCTTGACAGTGTCTACCTACTTACTAGAACTAAACGAGAGTTGTAAATCAGTTTAAAGAATAAAGATTGTAGTGTAAGTCATTATTTTAAGCCAATGTATCTTATTCTAGCTTTCGGACATTCCATTCTATTCATTCTACTTGAGTCATATTTTGACCTTGTCAATTATTCGCTTATCACTCTTGACTGTTTTTATATGAGCGTATATGTGTGCACACATCATATCCCATGACTCATCACATGTCTGTAGTTTATTTTGTCTGCCTATAAATATTGAGTAACGCTTGACTAAAATGGAGTTGGCTTCCCAGCCATCTTCCCTGCTTGTCATTTTGCTTTGCTCTGTTTCATTCGCTTCATATACAAAATATATGTATTCACAAGTCAATTCTCGTTATTCAACTTATTTAATTCCGTTATTGACTAACGCGATTTAAGTCGACGATTATATACGAGAATAAGCGATAACAAACATTCGTACGATCTAAATAAGAGTCAGATTCACGGGCCACTAAAAGATTATGATTTACAATTGATGGTTAAGGTTAGGAATTAGATTTAAGGTTTTCATTACGAACTGACATTAGCTATAATGCCATGACGCTATTTAGCCAAATGGATGAATGAATTTCGTACCGAAATTCAAGACCTATTATCCTAAATCTAATTAGTTCACCCAATAAATTATAGCCTTATCAAAAAAGTTAGAATGTAGGAAAACAAAACAATAATTATAACCATGTCATCAATTATAAAGTTAACTTACACTTTCCATTAGTAATGAAATATAAAGCATAAATTAGGATAATCGCATACATGTTGTATTTTGTTTTTCTATTATAAAAGTTTCAAATTGTTTCATCTCTTTATATAAATAAATTTTTATAGATTGTTATTTTGAAATTGTTTTTCTCTTTTTCTTTCTCTATTTTTCTATATTTACACAAATCTCGTATTTGTTTTACAAAGAAAAAAAATAAGGAAAGAAAACAAGACGAGGTTTATTTACCTATCAAGTTAGTAATAAACTCAATACAAATGAACATAATCAAATTACAATCGGTGTATCAAATTATAACGTTAATATTCATTGATAATCTAATAATAGTAAGATAAACAAATTTATTAATTATAAAATGAATAAATCATTATGATTATCATTATATAGGCAAATAATGAACACATTAGTTAATTACACTCGATTTTAATTCTAAGCGATATTTTCTATACTTACAGTTGCTTATCTTATTCTATTAATTTTATTAAACGTGATAAATATAATTTCTTTTAATAGTTGAAATCATGAGTCAATTGAAGCTAGACCATCATGGAAAACTTGGAAACTCTGGACGGCCACTTCGTCCTATCGTGGGACTCCCCAACAGTGCGCATCCACGATCCCGGGCGCTTAATTATTGGACCACTGAGCTGGTATCCAACGGTGTTAATGTCTAACTTCAACCAATCCACGAAATCGCACCACCGTACATCATTGTCTTCAGTGAGCTGATATCTCACAACAGACCTAGTTGAACTCCACTGGTTACGGCTTCTCACTAGAACTCCAGGAAATGCTTCTTGAAGTCAGTCACTAATGAGTAGATGATTAATATCAGGAGTTTTGTGAAGCGCTCGTGCGCGAGACTGATAGGTCCCTGGTTCGAATCTCGCGGGGGCTGGGATCGTGGATGAGCACTGTTGAGGAATCCTATAATAGGACGAAACGGCCGTCCAGTGTTTCCAGGTTTTCCATAGTGGTCTAGCTTCAAATGACTCATGATTTCAACTATTGAAATTACTAAAATCTCTACAAAATTCCTTTTGATATTTTCTTTGGTGAGACTATAATTTATGGGTAACCTTTGAGTGACGTTAAAATGACCTTGAGAATGTCACCCGACTTACTAAGGCTAAATGAACTTTATAAACATATGGGAAGAGTAAGGATTTTGATATACAATTGATGGTTATGGTTAGGAATTAGATTTAGGGTTATAATCACAAACTGACATAAGCTAAAATGTCAAAACGCTATTTTATCAAATGAATGAATGAATTTCACACCAAAATTCAAGATCTGTTATCCCAAATGTGATTAGTTTGTTCATAAATTATAATCTCATCATTTCTTCTACTTAGTTACTCAGTAATAAATAATATTATTTTAATCTCGCCATTAGTAATAATTATCAGTTGGAATGGATACGGCATAGAAGTACATTTGTTTGATGTTATGATTTTGGAATCAGCTGACACGAAGCTTAGTTTACGCTCATCAACAAGATTAATCTACATGGAATTAAATCTGGCATCGTCCAGTAAAAAACGTTACCAGTGGTCCCAGTCATAAAAAAAGTAGAAACTATGGGTTAAATTCTTGTTTTATGACTAGATTACTTATTAGTAATCAGGCTTCATCCATATTTTTTGTATCTCACTGATTAAATTCATTATCGATAAACTGGCTATGCTCTTATTGGTTGAAACATATTTTTACTTAGCTGTTTTGAACCCATCAATTTTATGTTTGACTAGTTTACAGTTGACTGTTTTTTGTTGTCTTACAACCTTGAATGTAAGCTCAAATTTAAAAAATTATGATTAATTGTAGAATCACATGCATATTATATATATATATATCCTGATGGAAAACCTGTCTTTCTAGAATGAATGTGTCATTGCCATATGAAAATCTCCAGTTACTAATCAGTCATGTAGGGTGCTACAACGTTGAATGTCGAAAGAGAGTAAAATACCACCAAACAGTTAGTCAGAGTTAAAGAAAGTTAAAGATTTTATGGTTAGGCTTATAAAAATACACCAAGTGCAACTTTGGATACCGACTTCATATTCAGTTACTCGACCGATCAATTTCTGGGATCAACATACCTACATGTTGCGTTCTTTATCGTTATAATCGATATCCGAGGCTATATGAATTAAGTAAGAACTATAATACAAATGTTCTTGAATACATATTAATGTAATTGAATTTACTAGTATATATAGTAGAAGCGAAGTACAATTGGACTGAACGGACACAACTAGACTGGAATAATACTAGTATTGAATTAACATCAGAATTAAACTACTTCGTAACTGAATGAGATTTATATTGACACTGACACTTAGAATTGCCAATAACTATATTTAATTAGAAATAACACTGGCAATTCAATATCCAGAAATCGTTCTGTAGCGAAATAAATCTAAGGTTGAGTCAGACCAGTTGAATTTGTAATGCATTAATATGAATACAAAATGTCCAATGTCGATTAGTCAGTGTGTTTGAAGTATTTATGCATCAATGTAGTAATGGATCACGATTAGCAAATAGATGGATAGGACAACCAACCAGAAAAAGGAATATTGGAAAGACTTACATGTTAGTCATTTAAATTTATCACACAACTGGGCACAAACTAACCAACACAATTGAACTAATGCATTTGGCAGTCACATGCTCGGTTCGACATTGTATTTCAAGACGGGTATACAATTATTTCCATGTCTGTATTAAATACCATACGAATCTTGAAAGAAAACGGATACAGATATCTCTATTCCCATTCCACGATTTTGAAGCTCCGTGTCTTAATTATGAAGCAGTAAATGAACTTGAATTTTGATGGTTTGAGATTTCTGGTAAATTGCTTGTTTATCTTAATCAAATATATACTCATAGTTGTGTAGGACTAGTGAAATGTCAGTGGGTCCTTGCCAACTATCCGGCAATCATGTCACTGAATGTTGAACAGTTCACTGATCCTTCTCAACTTCAGGAACAGGCAACGCGCATTAGTTAATTGCACACCATGAACTGGCCCATGCGGTGTTGGTTGCAACTTCTTCTTTGTACCTACTTTTACTATTACATTACTGTAATAATGTCCTTTGTGTTGTACGGTCATCAAAGCAGCCATAGTACCTTGATACGACCAAAGTTAGTCCACGTTAGGTGCTGGCCACGAGGTGTGACTTTGAAGTTAGCTATTGGTCACACCATTCCCTTCCAACTCGAGTGGGGCCCCAATCACTCGACATACATCATCTATGTTGATGATCTGAAGTTGTCAAACACGACCTTACTGTCAATGGTCCGGCAACATGCAATAGAAAATTAGGTAACAAAGGATATGTCTTTAATCAAAATCACATAATTAGGGCCAAGACGAGGAAGACTGAAGAACAAAAGATACGATAAAACGAGATCGGAGCAAAGGTTAAAATACACAACAAGGTGAAGGAACAAATAAATGACAGGAGGATTCTCATCGTTTTCTTTCCGTTACAACCTTTGTGGTAGGAACATGGGAATTTTCTTGAATTACTGATGACGAGCCAACAATACCCGGCATATCTTTGTTTATCAACGACTGCAAAACGGGGAGGGGGCGGAGCAGCCTTATAACTACTATGTTGCCTGGTGGTACACTCAAAAGTTTATCAACCTTGATTATTGTATATGGTGCTTGGTAAGATTGTCTGACACCTCGAAGTAGTCTGTCCTGAAGACCGTGTGGCTGTCCTGAGTGATGAAATTTGGGTGGCAATATGGAAACAAAAAAGTGAAAGAAAAAACCATAAGCGGCGATCACTTGATTGGCAAGTTATTGATGGGCTCCTATTCTGAATCACGAAATACACTACCAAAGTCTGAAAGTAAGACAGAACTCCATCCAACCGTGACTGAGATAAACTTAATGTCATTTAATATTATCTTAAGTAATTTGCTAAAATCAAAGGACCCTAATCACAAAACTAGATACACTCGTAATTTAAAAAATCTCGGAGAATTTATTCATAGCAGTTTGCCAGATAACTACAGAAGAGCTCATGTCAAAAATTGATAAGGATATGTAAGAGGACCGACCACATAGACTCCTTAAGGTAGCACTAAGGTTAGAGAAGCAACATTATCTCCTGTTAGGTAGCGCTAGTAGTTTCAACAATACTAACATACGATTAAGACCTGATATGCCCCTAGAAGATAGAATGAGAAGGAAAGCGGCACTAGCTGAACTAGAAAACCGTCGACAAATTGTTGTGGAAAATCTTCTCCCAGTGGATTTCCGAATGGTCAGATCTTGAAAGCGGAGGCTATCAAGGCCTGTGTGGACGGCTAGTTATTCCTATGAGTTTTATATACGAATACTCGTAGTTCAAGAAACAAATTCTATGAACTAGGTGAATAAGTGGACAAATTGAGTCCATTCATTGTAGTTGTAAAGGAAACTTGGTTAGTCCACGACTCCAACATTACTCCAGAATTATCCGGATAACACTACCTATGCATAGATGTAGAAAATGAGGTGACATCATTTTATACATAGCCAATAATATAAACATCGGCTCCTTTGCTTGCAAATCCCTTGATAGTGGAACTTGTGAAATCATTAACTGTAAGCTCACTATCGGATGTTGTACATTTATACTCGGTGTAATCTATCGCAGCCTCATTTGCTTAGTTGATGATTTTATTTCAGTGCACATTCACCTATGAAGTGCAAATGACAAGTGTTTGATATTAGAAGACTTCAATGAACTTGATATTGGTTGGACTGAGATAACCACGGAAGGATTTATAAACTCATTTGATGGTGGGTTCCTGATAACGGTAATGAAACATACATTAGTACAGCATGTATCCAAACCCACACGTTTTGGTTCAAACCAAGATTCTACCTAATTATACTTGGTAATCACTCATGCGACTGAGGACATTGCAAATCTAAATATTCTTCCACCGCCAGCGACCACGCTGTTATTTCATTGACGTTTAGAGCTAGTGACATGATTTTTGATCAGGTTAAGCCTC